GTCCACATGCCTTAAAATTGTCAAGGTTGAGAAACACTGGACTAGATGACCTCCAAGGTCCCTTCCAACTTTTTATTATTACTATTACTATTACTACTACTACTACTACTATTATTATTACTACTACTACTACTACTACTATTACTATTATACTTTTTTTGGCTGTAGAAATTAAGCCCTGATGATTTCTTTGGGGGGGGGGGAGAAAAGGAAACAATTCTAAACTTGTCTTTTTATTTTCAAAGTACCCACATTCAACCAATTTAGTTTCTACTGAGCCCAGTATATGTTTCAGCTGAGTCAGTGTATTTATTGGAATGGAAACCAACAAATTTTCAATGCACAAGTCAAGCATGAGCAGATCAGACAAACAGGCAGATCTAACAAAAGGGAGCAGCTGTAGTGACCTAAAGCCCTACACACTACCATGACTTTGTTACATGGGTTAGTGCAGACTTATAAGCAAGACTTATAAATGGCCACCCCTACGCCAAAAAAGCAAAGTGAAGCCTGGTGACCTCCTGGAAATATCTCTGTAGTTTTCTTGGAAGCAGGACAAGAACAGTTTGCTAGAACTGCTTTCTAGAACTCCCCCTCCCCTCGTGTCTACAGCATTAATATTTCCTGGTGGTTCCTCCCTCCAAATACTCATCAGGTACAATGCTGCTGGGGCTTTTGGGCAGGGGTGTCAAACTGCCAGCACACGGGCCGGATGCATCACGTGGAAGCTGCCCCCACCCCAGCTCAGGCAAGGGGAAAAAAGTTGCGATACATTGAGACATGTCACGTGACGCGGCGAGTTTGACACCTCTGCTTTTGGGGAACTGTTGAGGTTAGCTAGTTGTTGCTGTCCAGCCTAGAGCAAAACAAGCAGAAAATCGGGTCTTAATGATGCTTCTTTTGGTCTGCTAGGAACTGGGGGGGGGGGGAGACAAGCTCAGATGTGGCCAATCACTTCCCTAGCCAGCATCTGCAGGTTTGAGGAATTATGGATTCTGTAGTCCAAAAAACATTTGAAAGATTACAGGCTGCCCATCTCTGGCAAAGGTCTGGCCTGGTCCAGTCTGGTCCAAACTTTCAGACAAAAGGACCTGTGGGCAGCTTTATTTATTTATAACATTTATTGGCTGCCCATCTCACCATAAGGCAGTGGTGGCGAACCTATGGCACGGGTGCCAGAGGCGGCACTCAAGAGCCCTCTCTGTGGGCACGCACGCCGTCGCCCCTGTCCTAGGCCTTCAGCTGGGTTTTATAAAACCTTTTTGCTTTAGGCCTCTGCCGCCGTGTGCAAAAAAAAAAAAAAAAGGTTCAATCAGTCAATTTCAACTTCTCGCAGAAAAAAAAAAAGATCTTGCAAAGTTGAAATTGATTGAACTTTTTAATTCCACCCAGTCTACCATTACCACCGTAGCCACGCCCACCCAGTTGACCACGCCCACATAATTGGCCACACCCGGCCAATGGGCCACACCCACCCAGCACTCAACAATGCATAAGTGGGTTTTGGGTTGCAGTTTGGGCACTCGGCCTCTAAAAGGTTCGCCATCACTGCCATAAGGTAACTCTGGGTGGTTTACGGTCATAAAAATATACATCTACATTAAAACATAAATAAATCTTTCTTGTATATTCTGTAGGTAAACCAAGGATTTTACAGCAGACATCACACAGAAATGATCAACACGTGGCAGATTAGACACTGATTTTTCTGCAGTTCCACTTAAGGCAGAAGGGCCAGTTCATAAGAACAAATCCTATTCCATACAAAAAGCCCTCCAAGGATTCAAAGAACTAGCATGCAAAGGAGAAAGTAAGACCACAGCCTTTTTCTCATATGCCTGTTTCCAACGGGTAGCTTATTTATTTTTTTCTGAAATTGGAATTCACTTAATAGAATCCAATATAAAGCAGCCTAACCCTAACCGGGGAAAACAAGGAACCTGGTCTTCCTTCCAAGCATCAGGAGAGGGATATTCTAGGTATTTCCCACTTCTAATATACCCTTTGGATTCTATTCAGAGAACAAATGAATCATGGTGGCTTTCACCAGCAAATTCAAAACAGATTGTATTTCAAAATCAAGGCCGGGTAGAAAATCAACTCTGGAGTTGTGCCTATACCAGACACAAAAGCATAAGTCATGGTTAAGAGATTACAACAGTTAGCCTAAAAATCAGTTGTACATGTGTGTGTGTGTGTGCAGGTCTTGCCGTATTCGGGTCTTTTCCCGTGTAAGATTGAGAGTATCTTGGCGACGTTTCGACGAGGTCCCACTTGTCATCTTCAGGCTGGGGTCTTCGGCTTCGTGCTTGTGTGAGCAAAAAGCACAAAGCCGAAGACCCCAGCTTGAAGATGACGAGTGGACCTTGTCAAAACGTCGCCAAGATACTCTCAATCTTACACGGGAAAAGACCTGAATACGCCAAGACCTGCATACCTGTACCCGTGAAAATCTACGAAAACACACACACACACGCACACACGTACGTATGTATGCATGCATGTTTTAAATGGTGGGAAATACACAGCACAGCCTTTTCTCTTTGGCACATTCCAGTTGTGCCAGACTACAATTGTAACTCTCAATCAGTATGTCCCTCAGTAGTGTTGTCTAACTCTAAATGTTATAGGGCCTCATTTACAAGGCATCTAGTTTTTAAGAAACAGGATCCCAGGATCCCAAGAAACAGGATCACGGTACACAGTTTCTAATTTTTTGTTAACAGACCCAAAATGACAGACACCTCCTCTGGGCTTGTGCACAGCCATGTATACCCTGGGCATTGCTCCCACTGCTTCTTCAACCCTAGTGTTCCATCAACATCTCGTCAGTTAATCTAGACGAGATGGGTGACAAACAAGTTTAATGAATAAATAAACAAAAAACATGTCTACCATTCAAATAAGCAATCCAGGTGGAGTGCTTCCAAATGCATAATCTCCAGGATTCCTCTTCTTATCCATCCTTACCCAAATTTAATATGATTGGGTTCAAAAAAGGGGCCTTCCTTTTCCCCTTCTCCTTTCAAGTGATACAATTTAAGCTGCACAAACACTGCTATTAAACCCAGGAATCCATCAGCTTGGGCTTTTTACCCACAAGGCCCAGTCAGAAGAGGTGAGGTGGGGCTCATTTTCTTTCTGCAAGCATGCCAACTGATCCTCTGTGGGTCTCTTGAATGTAAAGCATTGATGCTCCCTCTCCCCCCTGAGGTCTGCCCCAACATTTTCAAGTCACAAGTTGTCACAGATCAGCTATTCTGCTTGAGGAACTTGTAAAGAAACAGGCATATCAAGAAAAATACGGGGAAAGATAAATGGAAATTTACCAAAAAATAACACTCCTGGTGTATTATTGGCATCTCAGTAAGGAGCACAAGGGCCGTGCACCTGTTACAGAATCCAACATCTTGGACTAGTTCAGATATAAAGCTGTCAGTTTCTTTACCATAATTTAAAAAACTGGGAGCAAGAACAAGATTGCTAATGTTTCTCCTGTTATGCACAAATTGAATTACTTCAGCCCCAGGTATTAATAATGGTTTACTAACGAACTAATTCTTAGCCAGGATGTGTGAACCACCTTCTGGTCCTGATTAAGAAATCTTAAATATCCATGATGATAATTAACGCATTTGAGCCAATGCAATAAATTATCACACAGAAGGGTGAAGCAATGCCCATGAACTTGCTGATGGTGTTCACTTTTAAGGAACAGCTGTCACTCCATTAAAGGACAGCCTTTTTTACACACACCCTTAAGAAGCAAAATCATTCACTCCGTACAATGACCTGGTAGACAAACTAAGAGCCTGATTTAAAGTGGAAGAAACAAATAATGCTCCATGAACTATAGCATCCTTGCTGTCTTATCCAATTCAGAAACACCCACTCTGGGTGAGCACCTACAGCCCACCAGATATTGTTGAACAACAACTTCCAACAGTCCAAGACAGCACATCCAATAGTGGGAAAGCTGTTGTTCAACAACATTTAGAGGTTCACAAATTGCCCAAAGTGATGGAAAGCATTCATGGAGAAAGCTGTGGATACTTCACAAAGTGATAACAATTCTCTTCTGGTCCCTGTGCTTCCCACTGCAAACTCTTTCACTTCCCTTTGCTATTTCTGATCCTTAACAGAATATTCCACCATCAAAATAATCTCTACTTTAAAATTACAATAAAGTTTGCAAGTCAGTGAAATGACACATCTACAATAATAAAAATATATTAACAGGCACAAACTGAGGATTCTAATCTCAAGACAGCCATTCTCTTCTCTCTCTCTCTCTCCTGCTTCAAGAGACCAACCGCACAGGAAAAGGAGAAGGCTCAACTGAGCCATGGATTTTAAGTTTACTTGCCAGATGCAGACCAAATACAGAATTTGACCCATGGGGAAGAATCAATGAGTAAGCTCTCCAGCATGAGACAGCCTTACTGAAGTGAATGGGAGCAACAGCACAAGGTTGTTGAGTCATAAGAAGAATTAGACTCATATTTCTTGGGATATCCCTGGCCTAAGGGGATGAGCTCTTAGCCCTCCTTGAGCATAGAGAAAAATAACTTCAGGTATCTCCTGTTACATGAGTGATAAGAAGGAGTCTCTGTGCCACGAAACTGCAGCCACAAACCAGAGAAGACATAAGCTAGCCTAGATGGCAACAATCCAACCTAGTATATTTCCCCCCCTTCTTTTCTTTGATTGACAAAATGGCTAAAGCATACAACTTCTCTTGGAGCTAACAAAAACTGCAAACATCCTCTCACTATATGCAAAATGTGTCCATGGTTAACATTGAGAGACAAATTACAGATGTAACATGAGGCTTAGGTGCAGGTTGCCAAACATGGAGGAGCCATCCACACAAGGGCAATGGAGATGGTGGGTTATCAACAGTCCATGAGTTTCACAGAGCAAGTGAGATCCAAAACAAGCACTCTAAAACTTTATTCCTTCCCTCCCCCTCACAATCCTGGACAGGGTGGGGGACTTACCAGGCTTTCCTGGGGTGCAGAGCTGACTGAGGGAAGAGGTGCACAGGTGGAGTGAGGCGAGAAAAGGGAGAGAGAGAAAGAGACAGAAATGATTCCCAGAATCAGCCAGGAAATCCAAAGCAAACAAACATCAATCAGTACAGTAATGCTGTAAAGGAGGATGAGGAGATTGAGGAGGTGGAAGGCCAGAGTCTCCCACACCATTATGATAATTCCACCCTAAAGAGAGGATTAATGTTATAAAACCAGGGAGAGGCAGAATCTGGTTCCCGCGTCACTTTAGCCCTCAGTTCTATTCTTATGGCCATTCTGAATGCAGAACTCCCGCCTGAAAGTTCTATAAATATGGTCCCTATGGCTTGTGCCTTTCTGGATTTTTTTTTTGGGGGGGGGGAACTAATCGATCAATTTTTATTACGGTCACAAACCAGCAATGCTTGTGCCTTTCTTCGCCATTGCCTAATGCTTTTGGATCCAATGAATGTTGAACACTTTGGCATTTAAGAATGTTGCTGTTGCTCCCTTAATTATGTCTGCATCAATCTAATGAAGGTCTTCATTTGCTAGAGGCAAATTCTGATTTTTTATGCCCCTTTAGCATTCTTGGGAGAAAGGAGACCAGCATCGAGGCCTGCTTACAAACAGGATGGGATTACTTACCTGCAGAACCAGAGGGAGGAGGACCCCCAGTCTGCTGCCAGAGAGTGGCTTCAGCTGCCAGCCGTCGTATGTAACACTCGTCTACACACAGCAGGATATTCTCTGGTTTGATGTCTGTATGGATTATTTTGCACTTTGTGTGGAGGTAATCAAGGCCCTGCAGCACCTGAAAAAGGGAACAATTGTGCCAAGGATAAGAACCTCTTTATGATTCAGGTCAAGGGGCTGCCATGCCAGGGCCCTGGAGTCTTGATCTTATTAACAACTATAGCAGTATAGGTCGTCCTCGACTTACAACCACAATGGAGCCCAAAATTTATGTTGCTAAGTGAGACATTTGTTAACTGAGTTTTGCCCCATTTTACAACCTTTCCTGCCACAGTTCTTAAGTGAATCATTGCAATTGTTAAGTTAGTAACATGGTTGTTAAGCGAATCTGGCTTCCCCATTGACTTTGCTTGTCAGAAAGTCACAAAAGCTGATCACTTGACCCCGGGATACTGCAACCGTCATTAATATGAGCCAGTTGCCAAGCGTCCAAATTTTGATCATGTGACCATGGGGATGCTGCTATGGTTCTAAGTGTGAAAAATGGTTATAAATAATTTTTTCCCAGTGCCGTTGCAATTTTGAACGATCATTAAACAAACTGTTGTAAGTTATGGACTACCTGTATTCAAGTCCCAGAAAAAACCAGGGATTCAAGTTAAGCCCGTTTGGTTCGCATAATAAAATGGACAGAAATGACCCTGGCTGTAAAAATTAACACCCCCCCCCCAATTTGTTTGCAAAGAAATTCACCTTTACCTGGCATAAGATGCTCTTGACACAAGGTATGGGAAGCCCTTGGTAGTTGGATTTGATAATCCACTTCAACAGCTGGTGCCCTAAAACCTCAAGGACCATACAAACATCTGGGCAAAAACCAAGTCAAGTAGATAAAACAGGCATCAGAATGAGGGATCTGGTTGTTTACAAAGCACCAGTAAATAGATCCCTTAGTAAATAGATCCCTTCTTTCCTTATGGCACATACAGTACGAATAACTTATAAAAATAACTTAGATATAGAGCAAAGACAGAGAAAGAAAGCTGGTGTAAAACAGAATCTGGAGTCATCTGGCTGTTTGTCTCTCAGATAACACAAAAACCAAGCAATTAAATTCTCCTGGAATCGCCTTTCAAAAGTAACATTTGACAGAACAGCCTTTTTGAGGAAAGTTATTGGCTATTTGTTCTTTTTTAGCTTTGATTTCATTGTAAGGAGTGGATGAATCAAGGATCAGTAGAAAGTTATTTTTATCTACATAGCAAATAATTGCTGCAGACCATTGGGAGCCTTCTTGGTCATTATTAGATAAAGAAAACGAGTGGGTGTGCATTTGTTTATTAAGAGGCCAAGCAGGAAGCGCATGGTAGAATGGAAAAGCACAGAGCACAGCAACCCAGAAACATTTGCCCAAAGCCCACGGATTAACAGACTTCTCTGAAACTGCATTGCCTCAACAAACAAAACATGGATGTGCTAACTAAACAAAAGTACAATTGCTCTACTAGAGGGACATAAAATTCCTACAGCCCAGCAACATTTCTTGTATTCACCTACCATTTAAAGGGGCTGCAGCCATTTATGCTCACCACAAAGGCCTGATGCAGCTAAAAAGCTCAGCCCTGTGTTATTTCACTCTGGGGAATGGGAGGTAGACAAAAAGATTGATTGCTCTCTCAGACAAATGTGTGTGTGTGTGTGTGTGTGTGTGTGTATGTATGTATGTATGTATATAGCGCCATCTTGGATGTTACTGAGAAAAAACCAAAGGTTAGCCGTCACTCAGCATACCAATTTCTACGTACAAAACAAGTCTGGATCAATTTCTATTTCTCCTGCAGACAGTTTCACCAAAAATGTAACAGAAAGTGGTTTTACAGCCAAAGTTCAGGCACTTTGGAGGAAAAAGTAGAATCAATTACTTGAGCAGGAACAGTTTGTGGACCTTTTACGGAAGGATACGGACACCATTGATCCCTGAGATCTTGAAATCGTCAATCAGTTGGACAATATTCTCCCGTTTCGGATCATTAGGATCAGAATCTCGCACCTGGAAGAAAGGAAAGGTACCAGGTAAAAATGGGTAAGCATTCTAGATATGGATCAGCAACTAGAAAATTCTGCGCCCAAACAACCCTCTCCATAAGGATAGCTTAAATATCATAGTTCTGGGGAAACCAAGGCCAAGTGGCTACATTGGCACAGAATGGTAACCCAGAATTTTTCCTAGTATTCCTGTGGCTCCTCTTGCCAGCAGGCACGTGTAACAAACCTAAAAGACTCTGAGCCTGAATTTGTAGTAATGGCTAAAATATCCTTAAAGCTAAGTTTGACTCTGATGCTTCCAGGATTTCTTTTTTAACCTTTCTGTTACAGCCCTGTGGATTTCATGATAGTCTCCCATCTGGTATTAATCCATTTCAATGCTGTTTAGCATTTTTTAGAATCTACTTTGTAGACTGGCCCCAAAATAGACCTGTGGGACAAAAATACTTTTGAGTCATAGTAGAGGTAATCTTCAGTTTAAGACCATTTGTTTAGCACTTGTTCAAAGTTACAACAGCACTGAAAAAAGTGACTTATGACTGGTCCTGTCAGGCCCAAGCCCAGAGGCGACACAGTGAGAGCCAATCCAATCCAATCCAATCCTTCATTTTATTTACATCTAGTGGTCAGAATCTTGCCAAACTAAAGCTATAAGCCTTCCAACTGCTAGTTATATGCTGAGAGATTTTAGGAAGTGGCAACTTTGAACTTCTTCCTCCATCCACAGGACTGTACAGTCTCTTAATCTGGGTCTCCCTCTGGAAAAGTTCTGTATTGCCAAACTCCCTCACATTGCTTCTCCAGGTGCACATTCCATCAAAGGTCTTCACCACTATTGCCATTGCAGCATCTTTGCAGTAACGTGATTGTGACTCAGGCACTTGAAAACCACCATGCGCTTATATCAGTTGCAGACTTCTGTGGTCACATGATTGCCATTTGCAACCTTCCTAGCTGTCTTCTCACAAGTAAACCCAATGGGGTACCCCATAAGGAAGGTTGCAAGATGTGGTCATGGGATGTCTAACTTAAAAACCAGTGATTCACTTAATGACCATGGAAATAAGGTTGTGAAATCACTTGTGATCACATAAAGCCTCAGTTAATAACCACACCCCTTGATGATGACTTTTCTGGTCCCTACTGAGAACGTAAATTGAGAATTATCTCTAATCACTTTTTATGTATTCTATTGATTGTCTTTTTGTTGTTGTAATTAAGTGGTCCAAAACCTGGGAAGAGGGGTACCTACCAACTTCAGAAAGATCCACGTGAGTGTACTAAGAGGATGAACAATATTATCGAGGTATCTGATCCTTGATTATTGCCCATCTCCAATCTAAAGGATGATTCTCACTAACAGCAAAAAGCAACTCTTTTAAAACAGTGAAAACTCTTTTAAAATGACGAAACAATCAAACTTTCACATAACAGACTGTAGGGAGAATGGGAGTATTAATGACTGATTGTTTTTATTATTGTTAACAATATTTTCTTTAATAATAACAGAAAAAGAATAAAATACAAAGGAAATTATGATAAAAATTCTCAAAGAAAAAAAAAGTGTGTTTTAAAAGAAGTAAAACAGAAAAAAGAAACAAAGTATATCATAAGTTAACAGTTACAATTCTATATCTACTTATTTTTGTAAATATTATTCAAGTGTGTAGATATTTATTTTGGATACACTTATATAACTATCATCATTTTTAATCTACTGTATTTTGTATAAGTGAGTTCCATATCTCACTATACTTGTCCATACAAAGTTTACATTTACAGACAATCCACTCATAGGTGGACAGTGTAATCAGGTCTTCGATCCATTGAGTAAAAGGAGTCACATATTAATCTTTCCAAAGCTGCAATATCAGTCTTTTGGCCATAGTAGGGGGCAGAGAATTATGTTGTCCAGTTATCAAAATCCATGTAATAGTTACGTAATTCAAGAGAATATTATCCTTTTAAAAAAATTAGTTTTTGCTGCAGTGATGTTTATATAATCCACTACTTTCTCACAAAAGTGTATATAAAAGTAAATATAGGATAATGTAAAACAAATGTTTTAAAGAAGCATTATCTATATTAATCACTAATTAGTCTGAATTGGGAGTCATGAGAGTATAGGCCCAGAAAATAATGATCATTGCCACAACTCATTTCTTGAATGTGTATAATAGCGAATGTTTTCCTTCCAAAATGTACAGCAATGAAGAATTATTGGGGAAGGTCAGGATAGCCAAATAACATATTTTCCAGCAATTCCTGGATTTGACTACTTCGTGCCTTACCGCCTAAGTATGTTAATTATTCCTTCACGAGGACATCTCACTCAGAATTGGAGTGGTCAAAGAAGCATCAAACTTACACATTTCAGTAGCTTGATTTCATCCACAGCTGTTTCTGTATAATGTACAGCACTTTTCACCACTTTGAGGGCCACAAAGCGCTTCCGCCTGGAATGATGGGAGGAGAGAAGGACAGAGTTAGTTAGTCCTGGCTTCCTTAGTTCTCATTTCAAGAAAAGACATTATCTTCCACTTGAAAGTCTCAGCATTACCTTCAAAACTGCTGTAAGAAAACAAAGCTAGGGTTATACATTTTTTTAAAAATGGAGTTCGCAGGAAGCAAAACAAAGCTTTAGGGATCTCAAACGTGCTTTTTTCTTCAAAAGGCAACTGGATTTTTTCCTTGAGGAGGAAAAAGAAGAAAACATTTTGCTTCTCATCGCTTTTGTTTTCTTCTTCTTCAAGGAAAAAACAGCCCAGTTTTGAAGAAAAAAGCACCTTTGAGAAAATTATGATCTGGATGACTGGGAATCTCCACAGACAAAGCCTTAGGGATTCATTCATTCAACAATTGTAAGGTTGCCTCATCCCAAAATTGATCCTGGGCAGCATACAGGGGATAAAACCACAGCAACAATAGTTTAATGAGGCAAAAATAGAGTGGTTCTTTGACTAAATGCACTTGGACTACCTTTGTCCCCATCCTCCAGGACCTCCTTTGAACTTAGCTAGCCTTTTGCACTTCAATCAGAAGGTGATTAGAAAATGCCCCATTTCCCCATATTTGGTATTCTTAAGATTTTGCCTCAGATCAGGAGGCGTTGGCTCTTTGGCAAGTAGTCAAAGATAGCAATTCTGTAATTACACCCTGATGTCTGTTTTCCAATTAAATCTATCCCTCAAGGATGTCTGCTGTCTCCACTTTTTGTTCATTTTAGTAGAAACATTAAAGGGAAAATTAAAGGACTTTGGTATATTAGCTGGTTTTAAGATTAATAATCAGAAGACAAAGATGTTAATAAAATATGAAATTAGAAGATCAAATAGAAATGATGGAGAAAACTGGTTTTAAAACTGAGAAAAAAGTAAAATAGTTCAGAATTACTACTGTATGACAAATTGTCTCTTATATCAAAATAATTATGTTAAGAAATAGGATGAAATTAAGATCATGTTAAGATGGGAGATTATTAGAATTGTCAGAGTTAAGGAGAATCTCTCATAACAACGCATGTTTTGTCAAGAATGCTGTTTTTGCTTTAGACAACACCTGTTTTGCAACTGATCGTCATTTATACAATGACAATTTAGTTGTCAATTTATACATGCCCATTTTTTTCCAAATACAATGACAAAATGATATATCTAAATGTACACGGAATAAGGAAAAAACCCACAAGTTAAATATAAAGTGCTATAAAATGCAAAGGAAAGAGGAGGATTGCATTTACCAGAATTGAAATTGTATTTTGCTGCTTGTTGCTTGATCTTGATGAAAGAATGGATGTTGCTGAGAAACATGAGACTTTTAGTCAGAAGGTCACAACCTGAACTTTGAATGGCATGGATATTTATGGTACAAAAAAGTGAATGTGGATTTCAAAACTCATTTTATCAGACATTCCATATTGAAAATATGGAATAGATATAAAAACACTCTTATGGCTCCTAACTCATGAAGCTTATCACAGAAGAGAACCAGCAGACAAGGACAAATGATTGATATATTGGGAATTATTGGAAAATCATCAATAGGAATTTAAAATTAAGTCAAGAGAGCAATTAATAGCAGAAGGACATAGTTATTTGTTTTCCCATTTATGATTACCAGAAAGATTCACAATGGATAAAATGATTTATGTTATGAAGCAAAGTAAGAATTTGAAGTACAAATGTTGCTAAATTGCTAAAATGTATAAACTTTTGTAGAAATTTGAAACAGAAAGAACAGTTTGAAGAATGTACAGTGGGCTGAGAATTCTGATTATAATATATAAATGGACCAATGGGAAAATACATAGTCAAAAGGGTTGAAATTTAGTTATGGTCTTAAAGAGATTTTTTTAAAAATAAAATGATGTATGTGACACCAAAGAAATTATATAGAATGTATAAAGATCTGACACTATCCACTATGGAGGAATGGTTGGTGAAATTGACAGATTTTGCTGAGATGGCTAAACTAACTTGATTAGAGAAAAGGCACCATCTACATTTATTAGTGACTGGAAATTGAAAGTAGACATTTTTTCATTTTGCATAAAAATAAAAAAAATGAACTTGTTATTTACAGCTTTGTTGATTAGACGGGGCAGATTGTAGAAGAAAGAGTATTGTGATATCACTTTAAAAAGAGAAGTTAAAATACAATTGTATTTATAATTGCTGTAAAGAATATTGAAGGCCACTACTTTGTAACTTTTTTCTTTCTTTTCTATTTTTCTTCAACTTTTTTTTTGCACTGTTTGCTTTCTCCTTTTATTTTTTCTTCCTTACTTTATATTAGTTTTAATCTTCATTTTAAAAGTTTCAATATCATTTAAAAAAAGCCCAAATCTATCCCTATGACAAGTTGCTACTTCGCATCTCAAAGGGAGAATACACCTTTCCTATTTCATGTTTCTTACCCTGGATTTAGACAGGACATAAAGAACTTTTATGTATTTCTAGTTCTCTTCCTTTTTAACTCTCCTTATAAATATGTTTCCTTGAGCTCCTAAGGACTTCATGGACATATCCATGTATTTTTCTTGGAAATATATAGCCATATATTTCCAAGGTATATATGATCTTGGAAATATATATATGAAATATATATTTCCTTTCTTCTGGGATGTTTTTTTCAACTGCCCAGTTGACGTTTCAACTGCCTACAGCTCTGGTAAGTCTTAGCAGTTTTCCATCAACGTCCAAACAAGATCCAGTCTCATTTTCATATTAGCCAAGCCCACCAGACAATACCATCTAGTTTGGCAATACATTGCAGCCTGATCACTTTTAAAATGTTATCTGAGTATCTATTACTCTCTTTCAGGGACATTCCTTGCCTATTTAATATAGGGGAAAAATGTGTGTCATTAACTGCTATTTCTTGTAAGTACTTACTGAATGTCCCAACACAGCCAGACAGTCGAAAAGTGTCCCCATCCAAGTTTCCGTACCACATGATAGCGTCCATTGAAGAGATCCCCAATCTTTACTGGATAATACCCACCTAATATGGAACAAAGAAGAGGCCACTTAATATACTAGCGGTCATTGTCATGGCATATGAGGCAACTACGCGCAGACACCCAAACTGCCTTCCTGATTAGTTATCAGGTTCCATCTTGTGTTAAAAACAAATGCTCATACATTTCAGTTGTTGTTATTCCTCAGGAATGTAAAAGTGAAAGCCCAAACAGATCAGACAAAAACAGCTTCTAAATGAATATCTTGTTCCAGCAAAGGAACAGACAGCAGGCAGCATTTAGGACTCAAAACGATGCTGCCAGCAACAAAGAGAGACAGCCCCTCCCCTTCACTTAAGAGACCCCAGGCCATTCCCTGCATTGCTCAAATACCTCGGCAGTAATCTCGAGGGTCCTCTTGCTCCTCGTCATCCGATCCCAAGAGCCCGCTTCCAACCGCAGCAGGAAGAGGCAGGGGGGGCACGGAGGGCGGGCGGGCAGGGTCATCTGCGCAGGAAGGACTAAGTGGCCTAATAATGAAGAGATTGAGGGGAAGGGGAGAGAGACAGATATGGGCAAAAAGAGCCATCAGAAGGCACTCCAAATTTCAAAGTTATTTATTTCACAAGCAGCTGAGAAACATTCCTTGTCTATTTCTAATTGAAAGCCAACAACTGCTCACATAAATTACTACAGCAAACTGTCCCACATTGGTGTTAGACTATACCTTCCACCATACCAAGCTTAAATGGCTAACAAACCTGGGAAGACTGTATTACAGAATAACAATCGAAAGTGTGATTTCATTTGTTCACATTCTTCCCATTTCTCTCAATTTCTCAAATTCTTTTAGATCTCAGCCCTCGGAGAGTGGGGTGGGCACTAACGTTTTGTTGTCATTACTCTGTTAAAGCTATCAAATTCCCATTGTCCACCTTGGGAGATTCTCTGTACGTACCTATTGGCTTCTATTTCAATCTGTGCTGTTTTCCCCATCTTGACAGCTTTAAGGGGAGGGGGGGAGAGATTCACCGCAGCCAACTTGAAAGGGGAATTAACGGGCAGCAAGAGAATGAATTAACTCGGCTACTCCTATGGATTTTCAGCTCCTGATCAAGGAAAGGAAGCCTTCTGTGTCTCTGATGTCTTCCCCAGGGAGAAGATAACATTCCTCAGAGGAAAACGTCCAGATTTGTGAGGGAGCTGCCAATTCTGGCGCAAATGTCAGGCCTCAAGACAGTCTCTGTCAAAGCAGAGTGGGCTAGTGGCTGGCACTTTATTTGTCCCACATGTTCCCTTCATTAGTAAAAGAGGCATTAATACCTTGTGAGCTCAGAAACTTCCTCTCCCCGTCAGAGCCCAAATGTGCACAGAGACAAGAGATAGACGGGGTGTTAAAAATAACCTAGCAGCTTCCAGCAGCTGCCACCCAGGATGGAAATGGAATTTGGAGTGGGGAGGATGGGATACACAAGAGAAAGGAACCAACCCCATGTTTCTTAGGGCCACTGAATTGGTGGCAGATGTGGACTCCAAAAACTGGATGCTCTTCCATTAAAAAAAACAACACTCCTAGCTGCCATGGACATGCTGTGGCACAGCTTATTATTCTGTGGAGAACTGGGGTTGGCATAAATGGTACAATACACACAGCAAAAGCAAGGAAGGGTCCTATGGCACCTTGAAGATTAACCTTTTTGCTGCAATTAGGCTTGCTGGGCCATATATCCACTTCATCACCTAATCTGTAAGTTGGCACAAGACACTGCTGGTTTTGTTAAATAGACTTCCCAGTTACTCATCTCCTTGTTTCAAGCAGGCTCTCTGTAAGGAGAGATGCTTGCTTCAGCTCTTAGCTATAACAGAACTCCTCAAAACTCTTCCCTCTCCACACTGAAGGGCTTTTGCTCTTTTTAAATTGCAAGCAATTACCCAGGAAGGAGGAGACAAGCAAGAAATAGGATATAAGGATAAGGTAAAGGAAGGAAGTAGCATCTTCATCATTCTAAGTCCAAAGGCTGGCATCTACAAGAAGCTAGAAAACCTCTAGGGAAGCAAGCCGAAGGCTGCTGCTTCACAAATCCATCTACCTCTAAGGAAAAAGGTAAACAAGTCTAGGCAGAAAGGGATTCCTTTTGCTCCGATACATGTGTATGTATTTAAACATAACATTTTTGTCTGGAATTTATTTTCTCTATACTAGACCTGCATGTGTCCTGTGCTACTTGAAATTTCTGTACCGCAGACATGTTTCAGAGTAGTAGGCAGCATTATTTTGTTTTTCACTTTTGAGTCTTATGTTTTCCTTTATGTTTTTTTATTTGAGGTTCTATTAGAATGCTGTCTGTGATTTGAATGACTACATTTTTATCTCTTCAAGTACTGAATGCTTTGCACGCCAATACTAAAAAGTTTAAAATAAACTTTTATATACTTTATTTCCTCATTTTTAATGAAGCTTGATTTTGCTTATCATTTGTGAAATTGATCTACCTACACACAAAGAAGAAGGAAGGGCTGACTTCTCAGGTTATGTGCCTCAAATGCTATAGGAGCATAACCTGACATATAGAATGTGTTTATTTCTCCCCACCCCACCCCTTTAATTTGCCAGGAAAACAAACGAGATGTAGGAGCCCTATTTCTCTCACCCACGAGGTTAAGGGAAGACCAGGAGAAGTGCTCTACAGAAGCTAAGTGGTGGCAGCAGTCATTGTGAAGCCACTAGACCAGGGGTGTCAAACTTGCAATGTCACATGATGTGTCGCAATGTATGGTGACTTTTTTTGCCATTGCAATGGGATGGGCACGGTTTCGCTATGATGCATCCATCCCACGGGTCAGCAGTTTGACACCCCTGCACTAAGGTAGAAGGCAGAGTTAGAAAGCAGACCCAAAGGGCTTCTGGGAAAGAAGATTTGAAACTGTCAATTTGAAACTTGAACCCTATAGACTCAGCATGTTGCTACAATTGTGAAGGATCTTTACCTAGCATCTTTTCTGACTAGTTTGTGCATCAGTGAAACAATATTGAGTAGAAAAACTCAAAGTGCAAAAAATGTTACAGCAGTTATTGTTGTAAGAGTCTTAGGCCCACTTAACAAAATCTATACCAGTGATGGCGAACCTTTTAGAGAGCCAGTGCCCAAACTGCAACCCAAAACCCACTTATTTATCACCGGGTGCCGGGTGGGCGTGGCCATGGTGGTCACGGCAGACTGGGTGGGCGGGGCCAGGGTGGCAGGGGCCAGTCCCTCGCCATCTCCGGGGCAAGGCACGCGTGCCCACAGAGAGGGCTCTGAGTGCCGCCTCTGGCACGCGTGCCATAGGTTCGCCACCACTGATCTATACCCACTTTTTTTTCCTTTCAGCCCTCATAATACAGTATTGAAGCTAATTTCATAAACCCATTGATGTGCATTGTTTCTATTTACATATACATTACACCATAGTATTTTATGGTGAAAAACGTTTCTGTGGGAAAAAAACACTTTTCTAAAATCTGCATAAAACCCTAAAAGTTGCTTTACATCAGCGGTGCTTAAGGCAGTGGGGGAATGATGATGGCCAATTCGTATATAAGCAATTTACACGTGTGAACCAGCCCTGGGCATCTCTGCAACTGTTCTATTTAAAAGCCAGTTAACATGCTGGATGAACTGCCACTGACGTGCAAAGCACTTTGCATTAAGAACCACAACTTGCAGAGGCAGGATGAGTTCACACCTACTCACATCCTGCCGAAGGCAGGGTGGCTGCCTCCCACCCGGGTAACCTCAGAGACCGCATTCAGCGACCTCTCTCTATTCCCCCGCTCGTATCGCTCCACACTCACCCCGCGGGGATCCCGCTCTCTGCCGGCGGAGGGGGCGGCGCCTTTTCTTTCTTATGTTTCTTCTTTTTGCCACGGCTGCTCCCCGGGCCTATGGAAGAGGGGAGTAGCGCGAGATCGATCGGCGCGCCGGGGCTGGAGAGACCCTCGCGCTGCCAAAGTTTTGCGGGCAAGCCTGCGATCGGCATTAAGTGGCAGCAGACGGTCCGCCCAAGTGGAAACCCCCACCTCCTCTCCTGCACCTGCTGCGGCCCCTCCTCCGTGCAACCACCGGCGATTCCCCGCAGCCCGCAAGTTCTCCGCGCGCCCGCGCGCACACCCTTCTACTTTCCAAGGCAGCCCCGCCCGCCGGGCCCCCTCACCTTTTTTGCTGCTCATCGCCCCCCCTGCCCCGGTGAGCTCCATACAAGCAGAGGATTACCCTGCTGCGCCTGCGCAATCCGGCCCCTTCCCGACCGCAAAAGCGGCTTTTACCCCACCACGTGAGGCCGGAGGGGAGGAGCCCGCTCCCAGCTTTGCACTGGACCAAAAGGAGGAGAAGAGGGCTAAAAAAGACTTTTTAGCGGCATATCCATCGCCACTGTAACTGAATCCATCCACCTTTCCCAGCATTAGAGCCTTCTCGAGAGAGCTAAGTCTTTCCTTATTGTATCCAAAGAATGGCAATATGAGCCAGGTCGTCTGCCACGAGTAAGGATTGATTTCTTAAATGATCCGTCGGTTTGCTTTCTTGGCTATCTGTGGTATACTCGGGAGTCTTCTCCAACATCATAGTCCAAAGGTATTAATACTCTTCCTACCGGGGCCCCTGAAAGTCAACTTTTGCTTCCCTAGAGAGTTACAGGGACTATCCTGGCTTGCATGATCTTTGTAGGTATAGACCAGGGGTAGGCAACCTTGGCTCTTTTATGACTCGTGGACTTCAACTCCCAGGATTCCTGAGCCAGCCATGCTGGCTCAGGAATTCTGGGAGTTGAAGTCCACGAGTCATAAAAGAGCCAAGGTTGCCTACCCCTGGTATAGACACATCCCAGCCTCTAAATATCTTTTCCAAGATCTTCATTACTGCTCTGCCAAATGCTAGTCTGCAGTGCATTTCTTGACTGCTTGTTCTTTTGCAGTTGATGGTTGATCTCAAAAGGCAGAAGCAGCCTACAACTTCAGTATCTCCAGTGTCAGCTGCTTTTATTCCTATTATCATCTAAATTAAATATTTTTAAAGTGTTGGAAAAAATACTTAACTTTGAAGCCCAAGCTATACTTCTGTAGAACAGATGACATGTTTCAGATATTGAATTTGGTATTCAAGTACTGAATTCTTGCACCCTGGTTTTGGCACTATATAGCAATAGCACTTAGATATATATCGCTTCATAGTGCTTTACAACAAGGGTCCCCAATCCCTGGGCCATGGACCGCTACTTGCCTGCAGTCCATTGGGAATCGGGCCGCCAAAGCAGCAGGCGACCACACAAAGCTTCATTTGCCCATGTGCAGGATTTTAGTTGTGTGCTCAAAGACATTCCCCCCCCTGCCACCAGTCCACAGAACCAAAAAGGTTGGAGTCCCCCTGCTTTACAGCACTCTCTGAGTGGTTTACAGTGGATTGCCACAACAACCTTGGTCCTCATTTTACAAAACTCGGAACACAGAAAAGCCAAGCCAATCTTGATCCCCATCTCCAGCCTGTGGACAGAGTTAGCCTGCAGTACTGCATTCTAACCACTGCACCACCACGGTTTCTGGGTATGCCCTGGATATCTGGCTTATACACTTGTCCATCTCCTTTTCATACGGACAAAGTCCTTAAGGATGATGCTTTCAGGCTTGTGGGATCCTGTTATTCAATTTATAATATGTTTTGAATACAATTCCTTCATTATTTCCTAAGTTCATTGAAATTACAAGAAGTTAGTGAAGAAATAATACTACATCACTTGTGTTTTGGTAGATAGGGGCACTGAAGGACCAGGCTGTGGATAGCCAGGGGTAGGCAACCTTGGCTCTTTTATGACTTGTGGACTTCAACTCCCAGAATTCCTGAGCCAGCTGGAGTCACGAGTCATAAAAGAGCCAAGGTTGCCTACCCCTGGGATAGATCATTCTAAAGAATTCTAGCTATGTAATATTCACTTGACGTTGACTCGAAGGCACATATGTAATTGTAATAGGGCTTGGATCAGTGGTGGGATTCAGATATGTGAACAACCAGTTCTCTGTGTGGATGCCGCTTCCAGAAGTCCATTCTGGGCCTGGGCAACAAAAAATTAGCTACCGGTTCTGCAGAAGTGGTGCAAACTGGCTAAATCCCACCACTGGCTTGGATCACCTAAAAGGTGTCCCTGCAGATTTTACTCTGCTAGTTGTTGCTGACTATAGGAAGCTGTGTTCATCTCCATTTCAAGGCCATTGAGCCAGCGCTGTCCAAAGATATTTCCGCGGTTATGTGGCCAGCCTGACATCACAGAACACTGTTACCTAAGGATTACTTTATTACAAATTAATCTTGTTTGGGCTCCAAAAATAAGTAGAGTTGGGTTTCCTTATTACACAACTGGAAGACAACCAGACAGTTCCTGGGCTTGGGCTAGGCTAAAAGGTTGAAAGAAGAAAGTACTGTAATGGTAAATTACCCAAATATATGAAGTCACACTCAACTTTGCAGCATCTTTATCTTACACTGTTTATGTTTTAAGAATGTTTCATCACTAATAGGACTGGACATTCTCTTTGGGGAAATACCTGCAGCATCTCCAGATTTCTTTGTCCATAGTAGACAAATTAACATGCTGGAAATTGTATGCATATGTATGTTCTTCCCAAGCTAGCCTAATAGTCATAGCTTATGACCATTGCCATTAATGGATGATAATGGTTTATCTGCTTCACAACTATTTTGGTGTCTTGATGCATATGTACATGTACAATAATACATCTCAGTCCTTATAGTTCTCTCAAGGAGGATTCATAATCATGAGAGGCATTAAATATCCTATTTAAGAATACCATTCTGCCAAATTATCAAGTATAATCCTGTTTGGTTCCCAAAAATGGACCAGTCCCTTTTCAGTGGAATGATAAATTTCCATGGTCAATAAGCATAAATGACTACCTTTAATTTTTAAAGAAATAATGTTTGCATTTAGAATAGAGATGGATAAAGATCTAGGTTTACTCAACTGTTTGCTCTCCCTGACCAAAGCTCTTGTCTTCCACTTTAGTCACTGTCATTAATCACCCTTATAGAATGATAAAGTTTGGAGGGTCTTTGAGCTCAACCCTCTAATTTACCCTCTAGTTTTTTAGTTTAAAGCATCCATGACAAATGATGATCCAATCTCTGCTTAACATTTCCAATAAAAAGGAATCTACAACTTCCCCTTGAATTAGATTCACTGCTATCTGCCTGTAACTTCTTGGCTCATCTTTTAAGGAGAGGAATCAGATGAATTCAGGCAAATAAAAGAGATTAAAGTTATAAGTCTAAGTGGCAAATTAAAGATACACATATTTCCAGGCAAATTACAGATACACATATTTCCAGATCTAGACAAAGCCTACTTCGGGATTCTTAAAGGACTTTAATATGAAACTGATGATCAGTTTTTATTTATTTCCAAGAATTGAAAAACTACTAATTTAACTGCAATTTTAAAAAGTACTAAAAAGATACAGAAAAGTATTGTCTGTCCTTTACATCTGGATAAAGTGCCAGAAAGATTATTAGTAAAAAATAAACATATTCTTAAACTTATTATTCCCTGCATATTTCATAATTTTCTGCTTCTGCCACATTAAAGATTACAGATTAAAATAACTTCACATTCAACCCTGGAACTGCAGATTGTGACCCCCATCTTAGAATCTGTAAGTAAATCAGACAACAGTATTTTTCTGAAAAGTTTTTAATTCTTAAAAATGTCATTAAAATAAATACAATCCCAGAGCAGAAGACTCCCTTATATACATAAAATTGGGGAGGAGAGGGCAACAGATAGGAAGAATTAAAATAAAGACCAATTAGAGGCTAGTGTTTATACAGAGAATTCTTTTTTTTAAAAAAAATGATATCACCAATTGCAATATTAGTGCATTATAAGCCAGGAAATTAGGTCTAGAAGGGATAAAATTCCCCCAATCCCCAATCTGTAGTGGTCAGCACAGAATCGCCCATTAGCGCGCTGCTCAAAAGAGGGACACTGTAAGCAGACACCCTTCTTGTAGGGTGTCCAAAATAAATACACCATTTTATTTACAAAGCCAGTGTTCCAAACAGGGATTACTCCCTTTGCAGTTAGTTTTTATAAAAAGACAGAATGAGCACCGAGTGCAAAAGAGCCTTATAGCATCCATGCAGTTAAGGCACTAGGGGTAGAAGAAGGGAAGCAGTGGTGTTGGTCATTTTAAATTATTTTAGATGCCTCTGAGGGAGATTATGCAATGCTGTCTGACACCTGAAAATGTTGCTGATCAATGGATGGTGGAGAATTTTCAGCTACTTGCCCCTCTTCAACAATTAACAGAACATGGTTGCCGTGTAGTAAGCCTCACTGAAGTAGGGAAGATTTACTTCTGAGTAAATATGCTTAGGTTTGCAGCTATTGGTGTTGGATCTGGGTGGACCGTTGATTTAGGAATGTTACAAGTCAGTCACTTTGTTCTCCACAAGAGCTGCAATCTGTTGCAATCGATATGCTAGCTGCATCTTTTGGCCCATTGGATCATCTTCTAGTGCACTGATTATCTGCAGAAAACACATACCGACAAAACCAGTTGAATTCCTGCCCGTCCTCTTCAGAAATCTTTTGCTATCTTTCCTCTTCTGCGTTCAACCAATCTCCGCCACCTCCAACAGTAAGTATTCTCTCCCACTCCCCGTGACTAAGTTCCAATAAATAAAATACCTGATCATAGTATTTGTTAATATAGTTGTAAAGTTCTTGCAGAGCCACCAAGCAATTGAGATCAGAGGAATATTTCTGCCAAGACAAGATACAAAACAGTAGTAGTTTTGTAAATCACTTTTTCCATATCAGTACAGGCAAATCACCATTATATTATACATGTATTTATATACATACTATTGTCCAAATACTAGACTGCCCTTGCCATCTGCATCTTTAATAATTCTACAAAATTATAATTTATGTTGGTTTAGCAAATCAGGGAAGTGAACACACATCACAGCACTCTCAATTCAAGGGGCATCCCAGAAATTGTTTTTTGTCTTGTGCTAGTAGCCTGTTTCCACTTTGTGGAACCCTATTCAGAACTAATGTGACCTACTTTCAAATAAAAACCATTCCAAATGGCGTATGCCTAATCTGTTGTCCTTTTAGTCAACTCATATTTCTCTGTGTTACCATTTAATATGGCAGGGTAGGGTTCCAAGCAGTCTCTACTGT